GGTTGTTCATTATTTTTGTTATTTTCTCGCCTGGTCCATTATACTCCTGCTATGAGTGAAACCATCCGGTATTTTTCTTCCTCTTTCTGGCTTAAAAAATTAAAAATTTAACAAAGATAAACATAGAAAAATATGCTTATGCACTTTTCTTTCCTGTGAAGATGGCACCAAGGTAAAGAACAAAGCACCTGCACCAGGTGCCAAAGCCAAAGCAAAGTTTTGGAGGCCAAAGGCACTGCTGGAAGGCTTCCCGGTCCTAAGAAAAAGAAGACCAGCACATCACCCACCTTTCAGAGGCCCCAGACGCGGGAATCCCAAGGCAGCCCAAATGTCCCTGAGAAGAAACAGGCTGGGCCACTGTGCCATCGTCCAGTTCCCCTGACCACCAAGGCAGCCATGAGAAAGACAGCACACTGTGTCCATGGTGGGTGTCAAGGCCAGCAAGCACCAGAGGACACAGGCTGTGAAGAAGCTCTGTGACACTGACATGGCCAAGGTCAGCACCCTGAGCAGAGCCGGGGACAGAAGACGGTGCATCTCCACTGGCTCCTGACTATGATGCTTTAGGTGTTACCAGCAAAACTGGGATCTAAATTGAGTCCAGCTGGCTAATTCTAAATATAAGTTTTTAGTATAAAAATATGCTTATAGGAGAGAAAGGTCATCTTTAGTCAAATGATCAGATGAGTGCCTCCCAGGGGATGGGCATAGGTGAGGAAACTTTTGGAAACATACCTAATCATAAAAACCAAATGGAACTATAAGTAATATCAGAGATAGGGAAATAAGTTGGGGATAAGTATAAGGGTTGGTATTTTAGCAATAAAGATACAAGAGAATATTTACTATCATTTTTCTTTAAAGGATACATGAGACAGATATTAAAGTGACAACACATTACTGTCCATTACTGTCATATAATTTCCTTCCAATTCTTTGGAGGAAAATAATCAAAAATGCAATGCAGAGAACACTATATGACTGAAGGATAGAATTCATCATATAAAATATATATTATATATATATATTCACAATCCCCCACATATTCTCCATGTTTGCTAAATGGAAAGTAGCAAAAGTTGGTGGACAAAAGGTCTAAGTTTATTTGGAAACATACAATCAGAAACAGGAAACAAAATAATTCTGATTTCCCTAAGCAAATGCAAAGGACTTTTTTTTTCTTAAAGATTTATTTATTTGTGCAGAACTGGGGTACAGGCCAGAGACTCAGGGGTGGCGAAAGACTTCACCAGAGACAGAGTGGGGAGCAGAACAGGCAGATCAATGAAGTACACTGCTGAGGGGAGCAGTGG